ACAGTTAAATTTTAATTATTTAAAAAGCTCGGCAAGCCTCGCGCTTTAGATATTAAAATTTAACTGTCTCAAGTGGAGAAATATCGTAACAAACTTGTTGCAGTGGTGGAATCTATATTTCTCCGGACCCCTCCCCCTTTTTACAACCATGTCTTTGAAAATAGCGATACGCTTATCCAATGGTACTTAAAGCACAAACACATAACATTTTGGTGAAAGTGTATAACAAAATGAAAATATTTCATATGGACAGACAAACAGCAGCTCATTTTAATAATTAAAATGAAAAAAATCAGCTTTCTCAGTTCACAAAGGGGAGTAACTCCTTGTGTAGTAAGAATAAGAATAAGAATATTTTATTTTCCAATTAAAGGGCCGTATAAAGAGCTTTTAATGACATTACATACAAATACATAAGATTCAACATCAATTGAGAAACATAAAAAAAACAGTTTTTCAATAACTGTTATAAGGCTAGGACAGAACCAGATAATACAAATAACATTTATAATATATACCACTCAAAATAAGATCATTGCCTTAATCTAAAATTATTTAGATATAAATATTTTTTAAAACACAATAGAAATTTTTTGAATATCTATCAGTCTCAATCCGTAATGGATGAGTGCTTATTGTAATTTTACAGATTGATTGCCTTAATCTAATTTTTTTAGATATACATATTTTTTAAAACAAAATAATGTTTAAAAGGAAAAATAAATATTAAGTTTGCCTTGATCTGATTGTTATATTCTATTTCTGTTTTCCTTCCAGAAATGGAGATAGTTTTTATATAGCTTATCTTTGATAAATTTTGTGAAAGAATCAATACTGGTTTTTAAGTTACATGTTTGTATGCCCAGCTTTTTTAAAATACAATCTATGCTTGTGAACAATGTATTCACTTAATTATTGTGAAGTTCTTTACTACATCTATATGCATCATATAATAACATGTTCTCAGAATTATCTAGTCGATGATAATATTTTAACATTGCTAATATAATGTAAAAATACATTGGGTATATACCTAGTTCAGAAGTCACAGCAAGATTACTGGATTTTTTGTTTACACCTAATACATATTTTATGAATTTGATATGTGATTTTTAACCGGATTTTCGAAGTAAAAATCGGTTATTGATTTGGGGATGTACGTACGGCTGCCAAACAGTGTCCGTTCATTTACATGAAAACGCTTTGAAGAAATTTCAAATTTAAATATATTGTTTCCTGTGACTAAATGAAGGTCAAGTTCAATTTTCATGATTTTAGCTTTTCTCGTTGTTCAGTTATAGCCCTTTCCAAGATTTCAATTTTTGATGAATTAATCCATTTCTGTACAAAGGGAACTAACTCATTTTTTAAAAGATTTTTAAAAGACATTGTATAAATGATATATGACATTTTGGATATTTTTTTCTTTTCTTTGGTAAACTGTTTGAAGAATTTTGTGGTAGGTTTGTTTGTTATTCTGTATAAACGAATTTTCTGAATGCTATATATATAATTTTGTTTTATGAAGTGAACTCCTTTAATTAGATAATACTCTATTTGTATTAAATGATATATTTCATTACACTACATTGTGTAGATAAAGTGGATAGATAAGTTGCAGATCAATATTAGTTTGTGACAAATGAAAGAAAAAATATTTGGAACTATTAATTATATTTGATTATAATTTGAAAATAGATATACATTGTGTTACATCATATCTAATTTTAGAGAAAACTATTTTTAGTGAAATCATGTCTAATGTTAGAGCATTATGTTAAACCATATTTCTGTTCAGAGGGAAATAACTCAAACTTATTCCATGAACCAGTAATGATAACATCAAAATTTCTTTCTTAGCTATTTTTTTCAGTCATGTGTGTTATGAAGGTAGATGTGTTAATGTTTAATTTTTACATGATCCTGTTTGGGGTTCAGATTTGCAAATATCCTTTTCATTATTAGTTAGATAATAATCTATTATAAATATTCAATCACAATCCAAATTCAGAGCTGTTTTAAGCTTAAATGGTGTGTCCATACTTGCTCAACTGTTCAGGGTTCGACCTCTGCAGGAAAATCCGGTTTGCTGTCACTCGAAAGCCTCTTGTTAGATGTATCGTTTGAAAACACTTTTTTTAAATATATTGATCACTTTTCTTACATGCAGAGTTAACTGAAAACACACCCCAAACTACACATCCATAGGTTAAAATTGGCTTTACAGTATGGTCATATAAATGAAGTAAAGTTGAAACAAGACATACATTGTTGTAATTTAAAACATGCTTTCATATATATAGATTTCTTGTACAATTCATCTTTACATTGAAAAAATTTCCCACTGGCTATAAATGTGATGCCCAAATATTTGTAATTATAAGTATGTAATTAATAGCTTTCTCACCTAGGTAAAAAGGGAGACTAAAATGCCTCCCTGCTTTATTAAAAATCATAACTTTTGTCTTGTTATCATTTACATTTAAACACCATTTAGAACAGTAATTATTAAGCACAGTTAACCTCTTTTGCAATCCCTCTGATGAATCTGAGAGAATTACAGTTGTAGTCAATTGAGCGTTTTAAAATCAACGATTTAACTAAAATACTGACAATTCAGTCATAACAATTAGAACAAGGGCATATATATACTGGCCTTGATGGTTGACTTATTTTGTTTTCCCAGAAAGAGTAAATGAAATTACACTACGCTAACATATTGCAAAGAATACAGACAAACAGAGTAATATAAAAAATGTACCTGAAACTGCGAAAAAAGGCACAAATTGTGAAATGATTGACATTTGAATCTGCATGTTTGTATATGCAATATCTTTAAGAACAACACTTTGCCATGATTTCTTTTTAATAAACTTGAGATCATAAGCTATTCATAGGTGTCTTCAATGCTATATTTAGACAAGAGCATGCCCTTGTTATTTTTCAATTTATTTGTCAGTTCTTTAATTTCTATTTCTGGTGGTCACGTGAGCGTTTCCCTGTGTCTAAATATAGATTTTATTTTTTATTTTTCGAAGAACTACATCCAATGTCTTTATACACATCGACTATACTATGGTTTAAGACGACTTCACATTAACTGGACATTAATTGTGAAAACACTGCATTTTTGTTCATTTTTATGTGGCGAACAACCTTAATATCACTGCGTACATTTGTTGCTACTGTTGCCTTTACTGTTGCTTTTATTTAATATATTGAAAACTAACTGACAGAGAGTAACTTCAAACACCAAAAAATAGCAGCTAGTCAAGATCTATAAAAGAGTCAAATAACCAAAATCACCAGTCACTCCATTATAGGAGTTATTGCTCCTCCACGAGGATATTTACCCATTTATATACAGCCGTAAGTGTCGCATTATGGTAGACCGTAGTCCGTTCATATGTCAGCACTTCGTTTGAAATTCTAAATGTTCAAGTCAGATTGGCTGGATTACAGCACCCAAAGTGCTTTGATTTTACTCTTAGTGGGTAGAGAGAAACTATAAACCGCAAACATTATCCCAAAAGTTACATCTACAACTTCAACATGACTGAAATCGACAATCGGCATATATTGGCAGCCGATATCAATGTTCACCCTTTTAGTGTTTGGTATCGCCTGCTACGATAGTCTCATAATGCGAGACTTGAGATTGCTGATTTACTTCATATCTTGTATATATGCCTTATGTTACGAACTTTCTGTCTGTCATGTGTCAGTTGACCTTGACATCGTTTTTATGTTACAGCGAAGTATAATGTTTTGTCATGTGAATTTCTTTCTTATTATGAGTGATACGATAACTATATTTCATATGTGGGATTCTTACATTGTCATCATGTCCGTCAGAAATAGTTCACATTTGATATATGGAATAATTGTTAGGTGTACATGTCCGTCTGGCAGAGGTCATCTGACCTTTACCTCATTTCCATGGTTCTTTTGTCAACATTAATGTTTCGTGGCAAGATAACATATAAATAATATGCGTACTATATTTGGAATATGGAAAAAATGTTAGGTGTACATGTCCGTCTGGCCGTGTTCGTCTGATCTTTACCTCATTTAAATCAGATTTATTGACAGTATTAAGATTTTGTAATACTTGTAGGAAAACCTTTTTTTAAAGACTTTCAACATAAATCCAATTTCAATTGATAAGGCAGGTGAGATATTTCAGCATTTGCACTCTTGTTGATTAACCTATTGCATTCGAATTTAGCTCCTTAAAATACACCATTCAATTACTTGCGGATAACATAAGAAACTTGTTTGATAAATGGGACAAGCTTGTAAAATATACCACCAGACATGCTGATATAATCACATAATTAACAATGCTATTATAATTAACAATGATATTATAATCAACAATGCTATTTGTATACGTAGTGTAAATAAACGTTATTTTACAACAAATTATTGAACTTTCTCAAGTGGGCGAAAGAATGTCATTTTAATTTAAAAGATTCAATATAAAAATAAGAAGATGTGGTATGATTGCCAATGAGAAAACTCTCCATAAGAGACCAAATGACACAGAAATTAACAACTATAGGTCACCGTACGGCCTTCGACAATGAGCAAAGCCCATACCACATAGTCAGCTATAAAAGGCCCGCAAAAACAAATGTAAAACAATTCAAACGAGAAAACTAACGGCCTAATTTATGTACAAAATAATGAACGAAAAACAAATATTTTGAATACACAGCAACAATCGACAACCACTGAATTACAGGATCCTGACTGGGGACATGCACATACAGAATGTGGCGGGGTTAAACTAGTTAGAAGACACCAACCCTCAATAGTCTGTATTTCATGTCACTTGTTTTGACATCACTGTATCAGAACTATCCAATGTAAAATATTCTTTTTTAGATTAGCAAAAGTGAAATATTCCAGAACAGAAGTGGTTCGTGGTTATCATCGACTATATAATCTGTTGTTTTATGCATTGATGGCAATCTTATTACTGCTACACTGGCTAAGTAAAACGAACGATTAACCTGATCATAGCTACAAAAATGTATAAACAGAATTAAGACTTTTCCAATCACAAATCAACGTCTACTGTAAAGTGATTAAACGATGAACTGACTTTTACCGAAATAAAAAATCCATGGATGTTATATCTCGCGGATCACAGTGTTTTATCTTCGCCTATAGCCGTCTTGACGTTTTTATGATATGCATATATTTATTGTCTTAAAAATTCCTATTGTCAGAATTGCGTAATTGTTCCATGTAAGTGTTAATCTGTGTGTAATGTTATTGCGGAAGATCCCATCGCGCACCTCTATGAGTGTAGTTGATGAGCCTGAAATGAGAAATGAGATAGTTGGCAAGGAACGTCACCTGCGGGCCGAATATGGCTTATACAGAGCGCGAAAACTGATGACGTGGAAGACAAATGTCTGACTGTACTGCAGGGGAAATATCTAGATACTAATGATGGAACTATTTATATATGATTTCACATGTAAAGTTTGTATTAATTAGCCGCCATATTGTATACTAGGAAATTAAAGACAAGGGTTATACCGGGGATATTAAATTGGAACTACTAATTATCAGATCGAGACCGAGGTGAGTGGCTTTATTTATCTACATTATGAGTACTGAAGATCTTGCACGTTCACGAGAAGGATCTAAAGAACCTGAAGTAATTTGCGCTGTATGTTCAAAATTTGAACCTCAAGCTTGGCGGAAGAAATTTTGTAAAAATTGTTTCCATTCTTTAGATGAGCATACGACAGACAGCGAAAAGGAAACGGGTCACGAAAAGTTAGATAATGAGAAAAATAATTTAAAGAAAATCGAAGAAAAAGAAACTACAGACAAGAAATATGATAAAATTTTAAAAGATAAATTGACTAAAGACGATAAGAACAAATCGAATAAACCCTTTACTGATAAACCAAATTCTGAAAGTGATAAAACTCCACAAAAACATGATATAAAAACCTCCATAATTGCAGACAAATTTAATAAAAAGATTACCGGAAGTGCACATTCTGAGAAAGGAAAAACCGAGACAGGCACAAATGCAGCAGAAAAGCAAGACGAAAAAGATCAAAGTTCAGTTACTAATAAATTAAAGGGAAAGTTCCAAATAGACAAGAAACCAAACGAAAAAGCAAATGACATCAAAGACGGCAAAGTTGACACTAAAACATTCGACAAATCTGATGATAGAATTAAACAATCAAAACAAGATAATGATAAAACAAAACTTTGGGGGAGTAAATCAAAGTTCGAGCACAAAATTAGCGAAAAAGAGAATAAAACCGAGCCCGAAAAGAAAGAAATTGAAAAGACGAAAACTTTAAATGAAGAAAAGCCGAAAACATGGGGAGCAAAATCAAAATTCGAACCGAAGTCAGCAGACGTTAAGGACGAAAAGATTAGTGTCGAAAAGAAGGACGCATCTAAACATGACGAGAAAAAGGTTGTGGACGATGAGCATAAAACAGGAGTTAAACAATTTAAGCCCCCGGAAAAACAGGATACAAAAATGAAATGGAAGAATACGTGGGGTTCAACTTTGGCGAACAAGAGACAAGATGAATCCAAGAAGGACGAAACATCGGACGAGAAATCGAAAATGGACGAAAAATCGAAAATGAGCGAGAAGGAAAATGACAGTGGAAAGAATTCCATAAGATCAAAATTTGAGTCTCAAGGAACAGGCAACCTCTTTGGTGTTACTAAAACAAAATCTGAACCTAACAGCAAAGAAAAAATTGAAGGAAAAACTAAAGGTGAAGAAACAAAGGAAGATGGTACAAAGAAAACAGACAGCAAAGATCTGAAAGAAGATAAAGGAAAGTCGTGGGCTAAAAAGAATTTAAAAGAAAGCGACAAATTGAAAGAAACTGAAACATCTAAATTTGGTGATAAAAACATTCCAAAAGAAACTGAAAAATCCAAATTTGGTGATTTTAAAGATAGTACTAGATCGAAATTTGGGGACAATAAGATAACACCTGCTGAAAAGGAACCAGAAAAAGCTAAATTTGGTGACAAAACATCAGTAAATAAAGAACAAGAAAAATCCAAATTTGGTGACAATCGAGCAAATTTGTTTGAACAAAAAAATGCTTTGAAAGACAAAACTGAAGTATCAAAAAAGGATGAAAAAGATTTAAAAAAGAAAGAAGATGAGAAAGAAAAGGCGGATGATTCCAAATCTAAACTTGACGACAAAAAATCAAATTTATGGGGTTCGAAATCAAAATTTGAAACCCCCAAAATAGACAAAATAGACGATAAGAAAACAAATAAATTCAGCATCGATTTAAAAAAATCGGACGGGAAATTTTCAAAACCACCCGATGATAAATCCGGAGGGACGGAAACAAAATCTGAAATAGACAATAAGAAGAATGAAAAGTTAGAAGGAAAGTTAAAACTTGACATTAAAAAGGCTGAAAGTGTGAACACGTCTGGAAAAGACAGTGGACATTCCGTATCCGATTGGCGAAAGGAAAAGTACGAAAAGTTATCTAAAACACCAACAACAGTCACACCTGGTAAAATTCTTGATAAAACAGCATATTCTCGTAGCAAGTCAGACACTTTAGTAACAGACAAAGACGAGAAAAAATCCTCAGTGACGTCAACATCTGTCAAAACGCAACCATCAAGTGACAAAAAGGAGCATAATTTGTCTTCAAAATCGAGTGACGTTAAACCATCAGAGATTCCAGATACGCAACGAAAGACAGGTAGATTACCCATTATCCAACCCACACTGGATCAAAAGGAGAAATTCTCTGGCATCGTCGATGAGGTCAAGGACGAAGGAGAAACAACAGCATCTAAAGAATCGTTACCGAAATTAAATACAGATGCGATAAACAAAATCAAAGATGCTGCCAAGTTTTTGCTAGATGATGATTTTGATGACGGTAGATATAATAGCCTGGGTCGAACAACTAGTGGTAATAAATCGACACCATCTCAGCAGGCGACATCATCATTACCATCTTCTACTAAATCAGAAGCAGACGATAGAAAAGGGTCACATAAGAAATCGTCGGTCCAGGAAAATACTACTGTATCCAAAAAACAGCAAGGAAAACATGATGTTGAAAATGTTTTCAACGAAAAATTCAACAGTGAGGCTGAAAAGTTGAGAAAACAATTGAAACAAATGGAAGAAAGATGCATGGAACTGGAAGAGGAAAACAAAAATCTGAAAAATGGCTTATTGGAAAACGAAAAGTATTCCGGACGGTTAGTGAAACAGAAACAGGATGTGGAAAATCAAATCAAAGTTTTACAGAAGAATTTGTCGTCTTTAGAATCTAAATGTTCCAAATTTGAAATTGAAAACACAAATTTGATAGAAAGAATTAAAACAGTACAGTCTAAATCTTCAACAACAGATGATCTCAAATCAGCACATATGGAGGAATTAAACTACTTGAAGGAGAGGCTGGGAAAGGGCGAGAACATTGTGGACGAATTAAGAGATGACAATGAAAATCTGAAACAAGAAATCTTGGACTTGAAATCCGAAATGGAAGAAATGTACGACACTTTTCGTGACCAAGAAGCCGAGGAGTTCCGAGAAATTCAGAAGGAAATGGAAATGCACGCTAAAAACTGTCGGGTTTTAAGTTTCAAATTGAGAAAATACGAACGCATGAATGAACAATATGAGGCAGAAAAAGAAAATTACGAGGATAAAATTCAATCATTACAAAATCAAATTTCTGATGGAGATACAAGAGCTCACATAAGAGATGTTGAAGACGAACTGAGGTTGGCAAAGGAAGTATCTGTTCGACTACATGACGAATTAGACATTTTAGAAGAAAAAAAGTGCAAAACTGAAGACGAAAACCACCAGCTAACTCAGATTCTGGAACAGTCGGACAAAAAACAGTTCAAACTTGAAATGGAGGTTGACAAACTCAGGGATCAGGTGAGTTTTCCTTATACATTGTATATATCTATATATGAGGGTCTGGATGTGTAGTCCGTCATTTCTGTATTCTTTAAATTTTCGAGTCATTTTTCTTAAATCTTTTAAAATAACGCTTATTCTGTAAAATTCTTATTAAAAGTACTTTACTATTAAATGTATCGGTAATTATATGATTTTTCCATTCCTTTCTGTGATCAGAGTATCATTCTACCTTATTCCTTTCTGTGATCAGAGTATCATTCTACCTTATTCCTTTCTGTGATCAGAGTACCATTCTACCTTATTCCTTTCTGTGATCAGAGTATCATTCTACCTTATTCCTTTATTTTACACAGTTATTCTTTATACTTTTGTACCCCATTTTTCTCTTTTCTAAATTTTGTTGTCTATTTTTGTTTATTTATTTTTATTTTTTTGCCATTATTCTCGAATAAAAGGTTTTTACACTATATATGTATACACCTATTTGTATTGGGGGAGGGGGTGGGAGGGTTGTAAATGTCTATCAGCTACACAGAATTACACATGTCTTCCCTAGAAAAAAGTGGAATAAATCAAATATACGTTATTCGTTTGCTTAATGTCATTAGCGCAAATAGCAAATAGATAATAACTGAGAAATCTGCAATACATAGAACGTAGAATATTTAGTCTATATTGTAAGTCATCCCGATTACTCAACAGTTTTTGTTGCCAGCAAAGTCCATCAACTCAGAGTCCCACAACCAGACATATCAAAAATAATGAACCTATGAATTAAATAAAGTTATATATATTCCTGGATATCTAGCATAATTAACGTTTCCCTTTGTAGTGATACTATAATAATTCATTTTACAGAAGAAAAAAATCCTCAACTTTTGTCATAAATCAAATGCCAGAGAAAATTTAATTTTGTTGAATGAACATTAGAACAACAATATCAGCTTCATCGTATATACAGAAATATCTTTGAGAGATAATGAAAAATTCCTTGGTGCGAGATTATCTATCTGATCTATCAGAAACATTCAACAAGTGTTCAAATTCGTTTTCTTTTCAAAATAGCAGTTTCTCTTAAATCAGCAGTCGGGGTTCATCAGGGAAATCTTGTTTCCTTGGTTACATGTTTGTTGGTACTGAGATTTTCTGTTTACTATTTTTGTATTAAGAAAATATAATGCAATTGTCAATGAAACAGTCATCCAACAAAAATCATTGGCGAAAAAGTCAAGAAAACAAATCTTACATGGTGCGAAATAAAACGTCTGACTGCAATTTTCTGAATAAATACCGTTAAAAAATGAAATATCATTAAAATATAATTACTAATAAAATTGAGAATGGACTCAAGGAAAGTCATAATTTGGATCAACATGCACTTTTTTCTATGCGATAGATGAGGTTCTGGGTGGGTTTACAGAATTGAGAATAAAGGACAGAAAGTGCAGAATAAGGAAAAAAAAAATAATGAGAAAAACATTAAAAAATAAATAAAAAACAGAGAATTATGGGGTGATAATTGATAAAGAATAGAGAATAATGGGCAAAGTAAATAAAGAAAAGAAAAAGAATGGTCTAAACATTTAAAGAATAAAAGAAATGAAGGAGCCCCCATCGAGACCCTCATACATAAAACCCCTTCCCCTATATATCGCCTGAACGAAAAAGGCTGGAGGAATCTGTAGTTCATTCAAACAAGCATTCCATTCAAAATTAAAATAGCTAGTCTTTAAATAAAATCTGAAAATGATACGGTAAATTATCCCATGTACATTCAAATATATCAACATTTATCTTCAAGTAATGCTTCAATAAACAGCTCGGGGGGTAATCGTAAAATCGAGACCCTCCCTATGTTTTCATAACGTGATGTACAGATAATAGCAGTAATGCACTCACAAGCCTGTCAATATGCACGTGATATCTCTCGACGTCTGCATATACCACGTGCAAAATTTATCCATTATCAATATATATATTTTCAGGATGAATAATTAGAAATCCCATCTGGCGCATACCGTACATCACTTGAATGTATAGTTTTGAAACAAGATCTTCTGGCTTATATATTTATAGTATTCAATCATTTGAATATACACATAATACCTGTGGTAACAATAACACATTACAAATTGATAATATTCAGTTATTCCCTTTTTTAACCATTTAACTCCGTACAAGTTTGTAGTTAAAAAAATGCAAACGACAACAAGGTCTTAATATTTTCTATACGAGTTTTATACGTATTGTGTCTCTGAATTAACTTCCTGTCAGCCGTTTGTTCAAATTGATTGATCAAATAATTGTTTGCAGAAAGTGCAGTGGCTATTTCACCAATATTCAAAGTGAACAAAAGTTAATAAAAAAAAGCAACTTGGTTTGCGATTCTTTCCCGTTATGAAAATAGAGGCGAACAATTGTGTATGAGTTATGTTCGATGGCATTAATGCTCCTTCATACAGTGGCGTAGGAGACGGGGGTGTGACATTGTTTTGCCCCCCTTTTTTTGGCCAAAACACAATGAAAAGATTAAAAATTGAATTGAAAGAGGGCACTGACTAGCTTCCATACTTTTAGTATAAGTACCCATACGTTACTTAGTCTGCATAGAGAGTGCCAATTTCCATGTACGATACATTGCACATTCCCAAGAGTCAAACGCCCGCCCTCTGAACTCCTCTTAAGTTAGATCAACAAATTTTATCCAGAACCTTAGTCTGAATGCTCTTTCAGTTTAATATTTATACCATATTAGAAAACCTTATGATCTTTTTGGTTTTCCTGGACGGATGCGCTCCTTAAATTCACAAGCAAAACAAAAATATTGAAATAAGAGTACCTATGCCTCCATTTTTTCTCAGTCGGCTCTTTACATTTATACTTTTGTATAGTACAGAACCATTATTGTTCTCCAAGGAAACACAATTGTTAATGAAAAGAATAGATATGATTTATAATATTCTTGGCATCAGACATGAGGTGATTAGTTTGTGTGTATAATCAACGAAGAATGATATTAAAACAATGTGTATATAGATTCCATATGTTTTGTGTCTTAATTACTCACACAATAAATGTTGTGTATCGTTATAGATACATTGTCTGGATAGATAAAAATTTGGCAAACTTATAGGTACATAGATGTGGCGTAAATTTGCAACACACTGGAGCTATCGAAGTCATGTCCAGAGTTAAACCCCCCGGTTTTTGATGGGGTTCGTGTTTCTCAATCTCAAGTTTTCTATGTGTTTTTTTGTGGACTGTTTGTTTTTCTGTTCGCCGTTCTTCTTTTAGGCCATTGTGTTGTTTGATTTTCTTTTAGGCCATTGTGTTGTTTGATTTTCTTTTAGGCCATTGTGTTGTTTGATTTTCCTTTAGGCCATTGTGTTGTTTGATTTTATTGGATTTAGGTCCCTCTGCCCTTGGTATCTTCTCCTTTTTTCATGGAATCGAAATCATGTTGAAATTATATAGCAGTGTCTGTTTCGATGGCTAAATTGTGGCACTATTTTTCAACCTTAGTTTCTACTAGATAGGTAAAAGCCCCAACACCACCCGCTTTTAAAATAAATCCGCATTACATGATAGTTCCGGATTATTTTAAATTACAGTTATGAATTGACTATGGACAATCTTTTAATCCTAAATCTTAGAACTATAAAGTAGATTTTAAAATATAAAACAAATACTTCTAAAATTAGGTGCGGATGAAGCACTTTTCTGGATATATATACATTCATCATGCATGAACGCTCAAACAAATGTATTTGAAAGCCATGATGTATTAGTAGTTGATGAGGATTTTATAGTGCTTTTTGTTGTTGTTGCTATTATATGATATATTGCAATTACGATATTGTGTCAAATTTAATGTATTTTCTGCATAACAACAAAATAAGAATAAACAACTTATATCTTTTTTTTGGGGTATATTTCAGACAGCAGAACTGAGAAAAAAAATATCAGAAAAATCCACCCCCGGTACACCTGTGTCTCAGGATGACTTAAAAGATCGTCGGGTAAGTACATCTATTATGAAGGTCCGAAGGGGAGGGACTGTCCGAAGGGGAGGGACTGTCCGTCATTTATTTATTCATTATTCGTTTTGCCTATTATTCCTTATTCTTTATTTTGTATCAGTCCATTATTCGCTTTTCTTTTTTTTCTAGCAGCCCATTATTCTCGCTCTAGTCTTTATTTTCTAGAAGTCCATTATTCTCTTTTCTTTATTTTCTAGCAGCCCATTACCCTATTTGTTTTATTTTCTAGCTGCCCATTATTCTCTATCCTTTATTTTCTAGCAGCCTATTATTCTCTATTTTGTATTCTCTAGCTCTCCATTACTCTTTATTCTTTATTTTCTAGCTCTCCATTATTCTCTATTCTTTATTTTCTAGCAGCCTATTATTCTTTACTTCTATTGGTCTATAATATCTCTTCATTAATATTATATTTGCCCATTATCATGATTATTCTGCACTTTTTGCCTCTTATTCTCTCTTCTGTAAACCCCATCCAGACCCTCTATCACCAACAGTTCCTACTACAAAGTAATATACATCACGTACAGACAGTAAGAAGTGCTGACGAAGCCATAGAATGTAGAGCTAGTGCTCTGAAAGCTAGTGCTGAGATTGCATGTTTATTTTTTTCATTCAATTTTGAAGTTTCACTTGTTTCCAGGAAAATTATTGTTTTTTTTAAGTCCTTTTTAGACAATTGTAATTGACTTCATATTGATATATTAAGTCGTCTTTTCTAGTTATTCTTTTATGGTTTTGTAAGGTCGCTGTAGTGATGAGAATCACACTCTTTAGAATACACTTTTTTCAACGTCAAAATAAGCAATAAAATAAATAGATAAATAAATAAATAAACAAACAAATTGTAAGTTCAAGATAAATATAATTTATTTTTTTGTTGTTGTTGTTGAAAACAAAGACACAATTTTTCTTTAAATAAAAGCTACTAGAATATATATATTTTTTTGCTTGCAGTTTTGACATTTCGACGGTTGAACACATCCCTACATCTCATGTGATATCATGTGACATCTCAGCCATCACCATAGAGGGCGCTTCCAAGAAGAAAGCCAGCAGCAGTGTGTGTGTCAATCGTTCCGACGAAACAAAACTTTCGAATTTTTAAGCATTTAAGAACACATTTCATTTCTTCGATTTACATATCAGTTTTTACATTTGAGAAAAATCAGCTCGTGTTTTATTTCCATTTAATAGAAGAAAAGAAATGTGCAACGGATAATTTAAACTAGCAAATTTTCGCAACTAACAAAAAGTAGCATGAGTTTACAGACAGACTGATAATTTATATGTGATGCTCAAAACTCGAGTTCAGACTTAAAAAAAAAATAAAACAGTTTTTTGCTAAGTCTTGTTTTTCCTTAAAAAGCATTATGGCTTGTGTTCTTGCTCGGAACGATTTGCATGCATGGTTTTCTTTATGGAATGCTCTTAAGGTGCATGGCTTTTTTAAATACTCCAATGCATTTTAACTTTAGCTTGTTGCAACTATTTTACAGGGGCATGAAGCAATTTTACCAAAATATAGATTTTCATTTAAACTACAGCGGAAAATTCACACTTCCAAAATCTAATGCAGTCTTGATATATTCAAGTCGCACATCAAAATCCTCATGAATATTGGACATATTGGATATTAAACCAATGATATGACGGTAATTTCATTTTTGGGCTCCGAACGATGAAAATATCCATGCTTTTAGATTCAAAAAAGGCAAATTAACCAATGAAATCCTTCATTAACTTGTATACCCAAATGAAACTTACCACATTTTTATCTTCACTATAACTACGTATCCAACTGGAGAAAAAAAAATGAAAAACCTTACTTCCAGAGACAGTCTGATATTGATTGAATTGGGTTGTTCAATTGTCGAAAATGTTTTCCTCTGAAACAATTTGGCGAACTATTTAAAACCTATTTGAGATTTAACCCGAATAATTCAGTTGTTATATTCCGCTGATCTACGATGGCCGCATTAACGTGGGAGAAAATTGGACACGGATGAGGATTGAATTACTCGAGTTATTTGGGATTGGGGATTTGAGGACATCTACAAATGATTATGATTTATTGTTGATTAGGTGGCAAACATTGGAGCCCTATACAAATCATGAGTTTACAAACCTTATTTTACAAAAAGGACGGTTTTATGCAATTGGAAAAAAAACGTATTTTTGAATACGGTCGAAAATATAAGTACATACAAACAAATAAAAATTGTAAATTGATATTCATCATGGTTTCTGGGATTAGTATACCGTCAAGTGATTGGTACTTTGGGAGGGGGCATGTGTATCTGTGAACATTCTTAGGATATACGTTTGACAAATGAGTGTCCTAAAATAAGTAAAAGAATTGGAAACAGGGATTTAACTTCCTGCATTGTTCAAACCTTTAGGACAAATTTTATCACAAATATGATATTGTGAATCGAAGTATGATTCTACCTACATGATTAAAATAGGTGATAATTCAATCCAGATTTGTATGTAAATATGTTTTATATAGACAACAAGTTTACAGGATGAAATATCCTACCAATCTGTATTTATGATGACTTTATAGATTTATTGATAGAGGTTATAATTGAATAATTTTTTTATTAATTTTTTTTATCATTGCATCGGGTATATTTGGGATAAATGTTCAATCTCGATAAAACTAAAAAAATTTCTTTGAAATTCTTTGTTAAGATTTATTCTGGGCATTGAAGAAACTCGAGTCTTCCTGTATTATTTATGACGAAGCTGTATTGAATCTTTTTCGAAGTATACCCATTAACATCAGCCTCGGGCGACATAATTTCATCTGTTATATATAACTTTGAGTTACTGCATATTTTTGTACGGTATTATTTATTTTTGTTTGGCTTTTATTTTCTTGTATTTTGTTGATGTGGCTGTCTGTTCTGTACATTGTTTGTTCTTTTCTGTATATTTTGTTGATCCACTGACCGAGATTAAAAGGTGGAGGTTTGTTTTCTGAAAAGATTAGTTTAACTCCGCCAAATGTTCATGAGCCTGTCCCAAAAAATTAAAACAACACTTTATAAATCCGCAGCCCTTTTTTTGGATTTACCTACATCAGGAACGCTCAATGCCAAATGTTTGAAAGCCAAAGATTTATAATAACCGAAACAGTTGAGAAGGTATATGACAAAAAATTGGAACCATGTCGTCATATGGTTGTCTCTTTTTATATTGTATGTTTTAAAATATTTATGAAACCTGGTATTGATGTAAGATCTGTCATGTCTCAGTTCAATCTATTCACAACCTTTTCCGAACCGAGCCATTAAAAGCTTGACATGATATCGACACCTGTCTTTTGTTAAGGACAGCATATTGATCTTTTTTTGGGGGGTTTACGTCAGCTAGTTGTTGCAACTATTTGTATCAAGAAAAGCTTTAAGGACGGCAACGAAAATAGCTGTTGGACTGGAACTAATGAGACATTAGTTTTAAAAAGGGGGAAGATATAAAGGGAGCAATAAAATGATATATCGAAGTAAAACAGACAATACCATGCCCAAAAGAAAACACTACAAAAGAGACGAACAAAGAAACAGTCCGCAAAAATACTACACAGCTAACTAAAGATTGAATATGATGAACCCGACCAAGTTTAATTTTCCTGAACTAGTATACATTATCTTTTAGGGGCCAGCTGAAACCCTCCTCCGGGTGCGGTATTTTCTCACTGTGTTGAAGACCCATTGGTGGCTTTGGGCTGTTTTCTGCTCTTTGGTCGGGTTGTTGTCTCTTTGACACATTACCCGTTTTGATTCTCACTTTTATATTATAAACTTGTTTTAAACTGGTTTATAATCTAATAAAAACACTTAAATTGTTTTAGTGGAATTTAAACTCCTAATATCTTATGGTACTAAGGATAAAAAGAAGCTACGGAACTGCATCTCCTATGACCCTAGTGATATTTTTTTGTATAATTTGAGGGTCATCTGCAAATTATAAAACAAAAACTTAGTCACAAAGACCATAAGAGCTACGCAATACGGTTCCGCGGCTAGATAAAAAGTTGTACCAGTATAAAGGTATTGACAACTTGTTGCTCTCTAGATGTATTTTGGATGTGTTTGTCTTTTGGTTGCTGTCTCATTATTTTACAACTCACATCTTCATTTAGTCACAAAAAGAGATAGAGCTACCGAAAATTGGGAAATTTTGGCGGTTTTCTCTCAAAAGGCATGTGTTTTATTTTAGTGTGTGTAATTTTGGTAATTGATGTGTTTAATGTTGGCATAATAGTAGTGAGCGAGTTCATTCATATTTGCCTTTATTTTAATACCCGTTTGTTGACAAAATATCAATGACCTCCTACACAAACTAGGAACACGAAAAAGTTAACTAAATGAAGGAATCAGATACGGATGTAATTGCAAATAATTCCGTATCTCGGGGTTCAAAGCTGAAAGAAAATATGGTACACGGTATTAGTACAAAACGTATGACAAGACAATGACTAAAACAATTAAATGATACTTCAATATGACAAGGTTTATAAATATTACACATTATACTACTGAACATACCAACCACCAGCAACCAAACATATCAATTATAATGATTATTTTAGTCGTTGGGTTGCTCCATATTTGACGTATACCCCAAACTTAGTTTTATCCACATCTTGTGAATGAAATCAACAAAAAATGTGAACACATAAACATAAAGAGACAGAAAACACCGCTGATGAGATTTCAGTTTCATTCCAGTTTTGTGATTTTTTGAGACCATGTCGTGTTTTCATAAGGTTTTGTGAGTTTATGCAACCCTATGGTGGCTTCATGCCAGTTTAGCGAATTTGTGGGACCATATGGAGGTTTCGTACCGGTTTTCTGAGTTTGTGAGATTTCATGCTAGTTTCATACTTTTTATGCCCCCGCCGTAGCGGAGGGGGTATTAAGTTTTACCCTTGTCTTTCTGTACGTACGTACGTACGTACGTCCCAAAAT